CGAACATATAATTTGTATTTAAATTCAATTCAACAATCAGAAACTTATCAATTGTCAATTGTCAATCCAAAATGATTAAATTGATTTCTTTTATAATAATTTTGGTTAGTTTTTCCATTTCATCTGGTTCAACAATACCGGATGAACGATGGATTGATTTTAAGGTAAGTTTTTGAAAAATCTTTGAAAATTGATAATTTTGTTCATTGATTATTTATAATAGAAAACTTATGATCGAAAATATGAAACGTTAGAAGAAGAACAATATCGTAGAGATATTTTCCTAAAAAATTTAGATTTGATTGATCACCATAATCGGGAAAAATTTTCGAAAGGTCTTTCAACATATGAATTATCAGTGAATCAATTTGCCGATATGACTGAAGATGAATTTCGTTCAAGTCATCTTGGTTATCTTGGTGATCGTGTGAAAACACCTTCTAATAATGAATATACAATGAATGATGTCGAATCGCTGCCAGCCGAAATTGATTGGACTAAAAAAGGTGTGGTAACACGTGTTAAAAATCAATATCAATGTCGTTCATGTTGGGCATTCAGTGCTGTAGCATCGATTGAAAGTCAACATGCAATAAAAACAGGAGAATTGATCGAATTATCTGAACAAGATTTAATCGATTGTAGTAGGCCAGAAGGTAATAATGGTTGTTACGGTGGAGATATGGATAAAGCATTCAAAATGGTTATAAAAAATAATGGAATAGATACGGAAAAATCATATCCATATGAAGCCATTGATGGTGAATGTCGACAATCACAAAAAAATAAAACAATCGGTGCAACAATTCATGGCTATGTTGATATTCGAAGAGGTGATGAACTTGCATTACAATCGGCTGTAGCAAAAATTGGACCAATATCTGTTGGAATTGATGCATCTTCTTGGCATTTTAAGTCATACCAATCCGGCATTTATGATAATGAAGATTGTTCATCCACTAAACTTGATCATGGTGTTACAGTAGTCGGTTATGGAGAATTGAATGGAAAACAATATTGGAAAATTAAAAATTCCTGGGGTGAAGGTTGGGGTATCAATGGTTATGGATTAATGTCACGTAATAAAAATAATCAATGTGGTATTGCAACCCAAGCAAGTTATCCAGTTGTTTAGATTTGCAAAACAAAACAAAACAATTAAATTCAAAAATTCATTTATAAAATTTGATAATTATTTTAAAAATTTCAATTAAAATATCTGTTTGTTTTTGTATTATTTATTACAATAAATTTCAATTTCAATTTCATAAAAGATGATCCAAAATGAATAATTTATCTAATTTTTGTTAATTAATAAAAAACATGATTGATTGGTGGTACAATTAAATGGTAAACAATATTGAAAGATAAAGAAATCAATGAATACTATAGTTGAGGAATGGATGGTTATGTATTATTGGCAAGAAATAAGGCTAATCTTTGTGGTGTTGCAAGTACACCTTGTTATCCGCTGGTTTGAAATATATTTTATTAACATAAAATATTCAAAGTATTTTTTTTAGAAAATACTTTTGAAAATACCTTTTGTTAATGATGTTGTCAGGGTTTTTTTTGAAATTAAAAATATGAATTATAATAAAAAAAATTTATGACAAACGAACATATAATTTGTATTTAAATTCAATTCAACAATCAGAAACTTATCAATTGTCAACTGTGAATCCAAAATGATTAAATTGATTTTGTTTGTAATAATTTTGGTTAATTTTTCCATTTCATCTGGTTCAATAATACCGGATGAACGATGGATTGATTTTAAGGTAAGTTTTTGAATAATCTTTGAAAATTGATAATTTTGTTCATTGATTATTTA